ACGTGACTATACACGTCCATACACAAACTATCTTGTCGATTTCATATCCAGTGTGAAATAAGCTTTCCATCAATATATAGCTTTGAGTTGTTCAGTAAATATTTTATATGAAAATATCAGTTTAGAAAATCAATACCAAAAACGTGTACAGCATCCTTAATAAGATATTGTCACTTTAACAAACAGTAATATCAATTGAATTTAATTATATCTGTACCTTTAATTCTGAATTATATTCAAACGCCACTGAGACACCGTCAGCAACAACTTCAGTCGGTTTGTCTTGTAGACCAAACAATCTGAGAATGTCCCAGCTGAGGCCAGTAAGACCCGTCGTATATGTCGATTTGTTCACCTGTATGGTCACGCTGGTCTGTAAAGATAAAATTACGAAAAACAAAGATCACGGTATCTTATTAAAGTTGACACCACGTGTCTAAAACAAATGCGGTATTTTTATCGTGTCCCACGGACATAACTGTGATAACAAAATTCATAGAAGTAGATGTACGATTGAAACCAATATGAATGAATGGAGGCAACCAACAACGAGAAACGCCACACACACAGTTGCCATAGTCACTCTCCTATTTTTGCCGTTCGTAAACCAGGAAGAACAATAAATCTTAAAATGTAGTGTAGTGTAGTGTAGTGTAGTGTAGTGTAGTGTAGTGTAGTGTAGTGTAGTGTAGTGTAGTGTAGTGTAGTGTAGTGTAGTGTAGTGTAGTGTAGTGTAGTGTAGTGCAGTGTACAATACAATGTAATGCAGCGTTTTTTAATGATACACTTTATTGACTCACCTTGGTGGCGGCAAAGGAAAGCAATGTGTATTGTCCGTTATCAATAGTATCTGGAAGAACACAATGTTTCATTGTCATTATAGTTTGTAACAATATATCGCTATAGTAATATCCACTAGTTACACTGAAGTAGTATTGTACGTTACCTCGTGATTCTCCGTCATCCCAAAACATATTTCCGATAGCAGTATCGTCTTCTCCCAACGCCACAACCAGTCCAAATGAGTTAAAGCGACTAAATAGGATAATAATAGTAAAGTAAAAAATATGTCTCTCAAGAATATTATGCTTTTAATATATGGCCGAATTGCATATATACACACATACGCATACAAAGTATAACTTTGAAAGAGTTTCGTCATAAAACATTTCCCTTGGGTTACCGTGGGAAACGCCAGAATATTCGCAAGAAATTCGAAATCAGCCTAACTATCGTTGGAATAATTTCAGCCAAATACGCCACATTTACTCGTTAGTTAATGTTTTCAATAACAATGTATCACATACTTTGATAGTACAATGTATGTGATTTATGTTCAGATTAAAGGTAAGGTAACAAGTCCGTTATGGGTTAGTGAAATCGAATGTTGAAATCGAACATTGCCGCCTATGAGAGTTTTTTGTGGGCGTGATGGTGTCAGTACCCAACGTATATTCGAAATTAATATGGTCCAGAAATTCGTGTTTAGAGTAATTTATCACGATTATATTCCTTCTCAGAGTGCACCATTACATTTACTGGAAATCGTCTGACCTCAGGACTGTGGTAATGTTTGGTTCTTGTGTTGGTAGGATGTAACCACCACGCAAATGTAATGGAATATAGTCCATTGGTGCATCCAGCGTCACCGTCTTGCCACGATTTGATTCTGGAATTTCTCCCCCCTGGAACATGAATAATGAACAGATTTATCAGTGTTGGTGACATAAACATAAGTTGACAGGTAGAATATATTAGTAATACAACTCCCGAATCTATCTATCATTTGACATATAACATTGACCCTTTTCGGTGCTCGGCCAATGAAAAAGTGTGATTTTATTTGTGTATGTTACTCAGTAGGAAGAATCATTTCCCCTGGTGACTAGTGAAAGCCCACAATCTCGAGTGTAATTGGTTTATTGAGGCTGTCACAATATGCACTATCTTACCGTGTGATAGTCATACCAGCGATGATTCGGGAAATATGCGTCGACTGTGACAGCATCCTGTGAAAGAATCCAAAAACAGTTACATTGATACAAGTAAAAACAAACAACAACTTTAAACAGCCTTAGACACGTCACTCTTACTCTCACCACTGAGGCTTCGAACTCGCTTTCCACATTTGTGTCAACAAAAACAAAAACAAAATCAAAGTTAAACATTGCAAAGTAAATACAGAATATGTAATCATTGTTATATTGTAAAAATGTATCTAGAGAATGAATATTTCCTCCAAGAATCATTGAAAGGGATATGACATTAGAGGTTGCAGTCATCGGCACCAATATATAGCAAATTTAATTAAAATCCGCTCAGAAGTTGATAAGAGTTTACTTACAAAGACAGACACACAGACATTTTGGCCATACAGATGATGGACAAGAAAATATTCAGATATTGACGCCACAGAAACGTGTTTGAATAATGATATGGTAATGAGAGGAACCCCTAAGACACCGATGTTTCACTGATTTGCCCCCAACACCCACAACATGTTCATTGTAAATGCAGCACAAACTCGTTGTTGAAGAGCAGTTCTTTGAGTATAAAGGTTGGTTTAATGATATTTATATCGCAACATTGGAACATATGTCAAAGAAAAGCTAGAAATGTTTATTAGGTATATGTAAGTTGTATTACATAACACTTCTTTGCGTCCTGGAATCTCAAAAAGTTGAACGTGAATTTAAAACTGATATGATATATAATATTGTATGTGGAATAGTGCATGTTTTTTTCAGATTTAGCATGAAACAACGCAGCATCATGGTATCATATGAGAATTAAAATCAGGTAAAAGCTGCCACAATTGTTGATTATTTAATAATTACCACAGATTATCAAATACAGCCTTTTATATACTATGGTATGATGAGATGTGACAATGCACAAAGCGGTAAGAGATATTATTGGGTTTACCTCCGTCATTACTGGAGTAACCATAAAACACGGTCCCCATAGAAACTGTGTATCTACATAAAGGCTATGGTTATCAGTTGGGAACCTGTAAAATAATTATGTATAAATCATTAGTTAGGCCAGGCGAGTTAAATGTAATAATAATAATCGGTTAGGCCACACCGACTCAATTTTATGGATGACATCCGCGCGCGCATTAGTTTTCGCCTGTTCTCAAAAAAAAAATCTCCAACGACGAGTCTTCACAGATCGGTTTTCTGCCCGGAACTTGCCGACTCATATTGCCGCAAAGCGCTGGCTTGTCGTAAAACTCGTTTTGGACTACCTCAAAACGTGCAAACTGAATTTTGTTGTAAATGATCTTCCGGGAATTCCAACATGGCGACCACGCCACCAAAACACGTGAGCATAAAAGTTCAGAGAAAAAATGGACGGATTGTTGTAGACTAGTACGCAATTGACGTCGGCCAGGGAGATGTGACGTTTACACAGCTATACGAGAGATTGGTAGCGGCAAGCGAGTTTCGCCCAGACAACTTTAAGGACATATTGTCCAGAGTGGCTGTCCCGCGTTTCTTATTATTTTTTTTTTGCATTTTCTGATTCGGATAAGTGAGTCATATTTTGATCATATGACGAATTTTCATCAAGATACATGTACATA